CCGTAGTACTCACTAGTCAGAGGGTGTTGTGATACTGCGGGGAGCCGTAGTACTCACTAGTCAGAGGGTGTTGTGATACCGCGGGAGTCGTAGTGCTCACTAGATGGCAAGAGAGTGTGATGATGGAATGTTCTCCGATCAGTGTATGATGTGGAAGAGTTTTGGGCTTGAGTAGCCCTAGTATTGAGTTTTTGGAGCCTGGATGTTGGACCGGGGGCGAGACTGGGGTCCCCGTCTCTGTCGGGGAATGTGGTGAGATGGCAAGGGATATGCGCAGCAGAAACCAGAGATCAGAGTGGAGACGATCCTCGGTTGGATTGTACTTTCTTGCATAAGGAAAAGAGAATTTCGTGACTTGCGTGTCACGGGGCCGGGATAGTGGTCACGGGGAGGAAGTTAGTGGGATATTTGGATCATGATTTGGGTGACCTTTGGAGGCTCAGCTGTGGAGTCAAAAGCTGACCTGGTGCTCAGTCTCGAAGAGGGATATGTGATGAGCTAGAGCTTATCCTGATGATGTCGGAGGACACCTCAGAGGGAGTGAACGATTCAGACGCTCAAAGACATGCTTCGGGCATGTGTATTAGATTTCGGAGGGTGTTGCGGCACGTATTTATCCTTGGTTGAGTTATCCTATTTCAACAGCCATCATTAGTGCATTGGTATGCCACCCTTTGTGCTGTTGTATGGGAGGAAGTGTTGGATCCTCATTTACTGGGGAAAGTGTTGATTCGCGGAAGTGAAAGTTGTAGTGAGAATGGATGATTTGGAGTATGGTGGTCGAACACTGTGTCTGTGACAGTGGTATGGAATGACATCATGATGGGATGTCTGCTGAGGACGCGGAAGGATTCCGCGGGTGTAGAGCCAAGAGTCTCAGGATGGATGTAGGGATGGAGTCTGGGACTCCCAACTTGATTCTGATCGAGGGCTGTGTGCGTAGTGGTGGTTTCTCCTGGGGATGTTAGAGACGTCATCATTGTGACGGGTTTTCCTAACCCGAGAGTGCGAAGGTTGGTGCGGCATGGGTGTGTGATTGCAAGAAGAGGACTCATGGGAGTTGCTCTGGGATTTAAGAGTGGGTCTTTCCGTCGTCACGGATTGGATAGAGAGGGATTCGAATCGGGGATCCGATGGTTCATGTCTTCTAACCCTTATGGGTCGAGTGATTGTTGAGATTTGGGGCAGTGATACTTCATGGGTAATTCTCGGATCGATGTGTGTGGTCATCAGAGGGTGCATCCGGTGCCCGGTTCGAGACAATGGTCAGGACACCGTAAGGAAAGGGAAAGTGTGTTCGAGTTTCGATGGGTATGCCTTGTGAGATCTGGTCCGATTAAGGCCAGGTGGCACGTTGTGGGAGTAATTCTGGAGTTGAGTTACTGTAGGCTTCGAGGGCGAAGCCTAATTTAAGTGGGGGAGAATTGTAACATCCCGAAATATCAAGAGTAGAGTTGAAGGGCTAAAAGAGTAAATTGGGAAAGAGCGACTCGGCGAGTCCATGTGTGGACTCGGCGAGTAGAGTCGCGACTTGGTCGCGTGTTAAGTGGCCGACTCGGCGAGTCAGTGTATTGGACTCGGCGAGTAGGCGCTGAGTGGAGAAAACCCTAATTCTCGGGGTTGAGCCTTATATAATGATCATTATGTCTTCCTCCCAGCCTCTTTATCACCCCTTGAGCCCCAGAAAACCCTAAATCGCGGAGAAGCACCATTTTTGAGTGGATTGGAGCTTGGAGAAGTAATGGTTGAAGGAATTTTGGGAAGATTGAAGGCTTGGAGCAAGGGGCTTTGCTTGGATTCGAATTGCATTGCAGTTGGGGCATCACTTAGAGGTAGTATCTCGTTTTTGACCTGTTGATTATGTTGTTTCTTCATTTTGGGGTTTGTGAGAAATTGTCTATGGATGAAATGGGAAGTCTAGAGGTTAGATCTGAGGTTGCTACCTCAGATCTGGAAGGGAGAAGAATCAGAGAGCATGAAAGTCCCTGTGTTGGAGTGTTTAGTGAAGCTTGCATGTCCCAAACCCTAGCCCCAATGTGCAAACGGCTTAGATCTCTTTGGATTCACGTAAAGTTTGCCACTTTACGTGATGGATGAGTGGTAGGAGGCTAGATCTATGTCTTGGAGCAGTTGCATGGCCTGGAATGCTTCGGAATGTATTCAGACCGGCGGTACTCGGCGAGTCACATGGGTGGACTCGACGAGTTGGATGAAGATGGCCTGGAACTCGGCGAGTTGTATGAACAACTCGGCGAGTAGGTTGAAGATAGCCGTAGACTCGGCGAGTCTGTTCTTGGACTCGACGAGTCTTGACGAAGAGTCCCAAATATTTCCTGGTTGAGTCGAGAATCGGTGAGTCAAGGGATGACTCGGTGAGTTGGGTGTGAGTGGACTCAGAGTTGTGGGACTCGGCGAGTCTCGTGGTGACTCGACGAGTTGAGTCGCGATATGGGGAAGTTCTGATTATGGGAACTCGACGAGTCACAGGGTTGACTCGGCGAGTAGAGTCAGTCAAGGGTTGACCTAGACTGAGGACTTTGATTTCGACCAAGGGTTGGCCGTTGAGTTTTAGGGTTTGGACAGCGATGTGGCCTTTGGGCCAAGAGAGAGGTAAAATAGTCTTTTACCCATAAGAGGGTGTTATGAGAGGATTTATTCTAGCCTCGAGAGTTATATTCATGAGAGTATTTGCCTTACGTGTTAGGCGGTGGCGAGTTCGAGATTCAAGTGTGGGGATATCTGCTTTCTGCTTGCCAGGTGAGTCTTCTCACTATACTTTACCTTGAGTAGGTAACCAGAGTTATGTGATTAGAGTATTTGTATGCTATATGTACGTGATGTGTTGTACTGCATTATTTCTATGTGATTTATGTTGTGCATGTTTATAGAGTTGGAACCGGAAGGTTCCCAGAGTTAGAACCTGAGGGTTCACAGAGTTTGGGTGCACGGACCCACAGAGTTATAGCCTCGAGTGGCTAATATGTGTTATGTGTGGTATTTTGGGGAACTCACTAAGCTTCGTGCTTACAGTGTTTTGTTTGATGTTTTACAGGTTTCTTTCAGTATCACGGGACGGCACCGGCTTGATTGTACACACCAGAGAAAGAGTCATATTTTTGAGGATCTTGGTTTTCTATGCAAGTGAAAATGGAGTTATGTTTTGTAAATCGACTATGAATAAGATTTTAAACAAGTGTTTCTAAGAGTAAAATGATTATTTTAAATGAAAAATTTATCTTGAAATTTACGGTGTTACAGAAGGGCATAATAACTTTTGCTTGGTGAATACCTAGACCCAATAAAAAGCCTACCAGTGACGATTTATCTCATGGTTCCATTCTGTTAAAATAAAGCGAGTTACTTTTCCAACTTTATCTATTTAGTTTCTGCATTTTGAGTCCAGTTATATAAAAACTAATTAACAGTTCAAGAGTGGAACCAATATGTAGCCTTGAAGACTAGGTCAGTATTCCCCGTAGGGATATTTATATCTATCCACCTAATTGTAAAAGGTTGGATAGATGAAAAGAAAATTGCTACATGGGTTTCATTGAAAGTCATGGGTTCCATTAGTGGCCTAAGGAATTCCGAGTACCCCAATGACTTTCATAGAAAGTCATGAACTATAATATTAATAATAATAATAAAGTTAGTATTATTTTCTTTTTTATATGCGAAGATTGAAATATTGAGAAAAGATAAAAAAAAAAAAAAAAAAAGGTTGAAAAGTTGCGAAAAGATATAAAAAAAGTGAAAAGAAAAAAATGTTCCAAAAAAATAAGTGGGTTGCAATAAATTTAGTTATATTTCTAGGAAAATTATGTTATAAAGTATTTTTCTTTTTAAAGTCGTGTTACTTCAAATTTGGCAATAACTTTTGAAAGAAATGCGGTAAATAAAAGGGCATAGGTGGTATGAATGCCCAAAATGAATGATGTTCAAAATAAGTGGGAAACATTTATGATGATTGTAAGTATTTAGGGGTAATAACCCTTTACTTTCGTTTAGATTAAATGAACCCTCATTCGGTTTGTCTAGTTTTACTATGATTAACCTAGTTTACTTTATGATTATGAGTGTTTCTTCTATAATCATGAGATAATAACCATTTACTTTCGTTTAGATTAGATGAACCTTAATACTATGTGTTGATTTCTACTTTTACGGATTATTGAAGTTGGTTTTCGCTAGTGTTTGGCAGATCACATCCTAGCATGTTAAGTTTCTATCTGTATTACCTTGCCTTCATGTTTTCTGTAATTAAGTGATCCTTGATTACATGACTTCTTTACCTAGTTGTTTATGATCATTAAATTGGAGGTGGCTTTTAGGCATATACTATATGTTATACCAAAAGGAAGTAGACAAGATATATTAAATGCATTTTTAATTGGTCAATACTTTGGTAACATTGTGAATGTGTTATTATATATATATATATATATATATATATATATATATATATATATATATATATATACACACACGGTGACAAGTAGGTTGCCATCTGAAACACTTGGTTAAAGTTAAAGAATTTGCATAGTGTGTACCAGAGATACGAGATTGGTGATGGTGTTGTGGATGAGGAAATTGATGGGCAAGTAGAGTTTGAAATTTTTGAGCACATGTTGATTAAGATGTTAGTGATCCTATAAGGTGATTGTTGATTTTGTATATCCATCTTTCTTATGAGAATTACAAAGTACTGAAAGTAGCATATATTTACATCAACATGTTATTTTGCACCAACAAATGAAGAACTAGACTAAATAAACGAGTATATGCTTAATCAGGTACCCGATGATTCGTAAACATATTTTAGTTTGGACAAAGTTTGCAATTCTGAGCAATATAATTTTCTGACCGACGAGTTATACTCACCTGGTTTTATAAACTCTATCAACTTGTCAAGACTACCAAATCATGAATTAAAGTTTAAAATAAGTAATGTTGTTGCATAATCTTAATTAATTAATCTAGGGCCATGTAATGGGATAGGCATGCATGCAATCAACATTTCAAAAACAAAAAAAGTCAAGGTAAATCACTTTCTGGACTTGATTATTCTTGTGAGGACTCGTGTTCACCCATGAACAATTATATATTGTGTTGTCTAGAAAAACAACCAAGGAGGGTATAAAAGATAGTAATGATGGATGAAAAATAGAACTTATAAAACACGACAACTAACATAGTCTATAAAAAAATACTTCAATGTTTATAAATACCATATTTGTCATAAAGATTGAGTGGATGATGTTTAAGTATACGTGACAATATATGGTATATATATTTGCTATGTTTAGTAATTTTTTAATTTTAATTTCATTCATATGTGTGTATGCCTTAAAATTATTTTCAAGATCAATATTTCCGCATCTATGTTCACACATGTCTATCACCTAGTTATGAGATACATGAATATTTTAAGGTATAAATACAAATTTAAGCTATTTTGTCACAATCTTCAAGCCAATTAGGTTGTGTTTATCTATTTTTAATAATAGAATTTTTTTATTAGCAATTGGTAATCGACAATTGATTTTTATTTAGCTAAATTTATAATTTAATGTTTTCTTAATTTTAAAAGGTATTTTCTAACATGTGCCAAATGACACATATAAAAATTATTAATTATAAAAAATATTATCATAATTAAATACAAAATGTATTAATTATAGATAATATTTTTAATAATTAATACATTTCATATTTTTCAATTAGATTTTTTTTCTATAATTTCTTTATTTCACATTTTTAATAATATTTTCTACAATTAATATTTTTTTTATAATAATATTTCCTATAATCAATATTTAAAAATATTGTTTTTGTGACAAAAATATAGACGGTTTAATATTGGATAACTGAGGATAACAGAGACAAACGGCCAAAAGAGCAAGAAACGCACGGCAGCCGTCACAACCCCGAGGAACCGATTCCGTCGCCCATCTGAGAAAAATCGACGACTCTCTTCTTTTCAACGCACTCTCGTTTCTTATTTCTCAAATCGATCCTCCGCCGTCCTTCCGCCCAATCTCACCGGATCCTCCCTCATTGGACGTAAGCTGTTTCCACACCTTTCTCTTTAATTTCATCAGCTTTGTGTTTATCGATTGATTTTATCTTCAAACCCTAGTGTTTTCGGCGTACAATCACTCATCTTCGCGATTCGAACTTTATGTCTGTAAATCGCGATGCCTCACTTCAGATCTGCTCCCTGAATGCGTTTATGTTGCTTTCCCTTGTTGCAATTCGTCTAGTTTTTTGCAATGAATGAAACTCATATCTTGCTAATTGATCTTGTCGAATCAATGATATACGAACTCATCTCAATTCTAATCTTATGCTGCTCTTTATTAATACTGAAACCAATTGAATTTATCGAAGATACACATATTAGGACACTTCATATAGGTTTCAGTTGTTGAAGATGCAAAACAATAACACTAGAAAACAACTCTGACCTTCATAAGCAGCTTGAAAATCATTTCAATGCATACAAGTTTTGGGAGACCTTCTGTTCATGTAAACAAGTGTTATATATCTCTGCTTATTTCAGTTGTATTTTGGATGATTAGGGTTTTGAGGATAACTTTCCATGGAGGGAATCGGAGGTGCTAATACAGCTTCTGAAGCAACATTGGATCAATGGAGACAATATTCAAGGCTTTTCCAGTATTACCTTGATAAAACCACTCCACATGCAGTTTACAGATGGATCACAACAGCTACTCTAGCACTTCTCTTTGCATTACGTGTCTATTATCTTCAAGGATTCTACATTGTTACCTATGGACTCGGAATCTACTTACTCAATTTGTTGATTGGGTTTTTGTCCCCTTTGGTTGACCCTGAAGTGGACCCCACAGATGGTGCCTTGTTACCTACAAAAGGCTCAGATGAGTTCAAGCCTTTTATTCGACGCCTCCCTGAGTTTAAATTCTGGTAATCATTTCAGCCTTTCACATCAACATAAACATCATTTACCATAATTTCATATTGCTTTTTGATGTTGAAACTTGAAACTTGAAACTTTAAATTACAGGTATGCCATTACAAAGGCTTTCATTATATCGATTATGATGACATTCTTTTCTATGTTTGATGTTCCTGTGTTTTGGCCAATACTACTTTGTTACTGGTTTGTATTGTTTGCAATGACAATGAAGCGCCAAATCATGCATATGGTTAAATACAAGTACATCCCATTCAGCATCGGGAAACAGGTCAGCATTCAATTCAAAAAAAAAAACACATTATTCCATTTTTGATTGATTATATTTAAGCATTTGAGATTTGGTTAATGTCGTATAAAACATCATTTGCCAAAATCTGATAAACGGGTGTTGAATCCTACGTGGCATCCGTTATGGTATCCAATATGACACAGTTTCTTGACTCATGTGAGGTGACATGGCATCCACTGTGGCATCTAATATTAGAGCTGTTCATTATTTGGATAAAACCTTGGACAATTTGGTTCGGATATTTGGATTTTTGGATTGGTTTTCACGGAATTATCAGAGTAAATTACACGAACGAATGGTCCCTATGGTTTGGGTTAATTTGCCCGTTTGGTCCCTAATTTATTTTTTTAATTCGGAAGGTCTCTACAGTTTGTTTTTGTTGCGCGTTTGGTCTCTATCTTACCTAAAAAGATTATTTTGCTCTTTAGTTTTTAATTTATTTAAATAAAGTGGGGTAGGTAAGATAAGTTGAAGTGGAAGTGAGGTTGGGGTGTGTTTAATTAAATAAATTAAAAAATCAAGGATAAATTAGTCATTTTTGATAAGACAGGGACCAAGTGCGCAACAAAAACAAACTGTAGGGACCTTCCGAGTTAAAAAAATAAGTTAGGGACCAAACGGGCAAATTAACCCAAACCATAGGGACCTTTCGTGTAATTTACTCGAATTATTATGTTGGATTTCAGATTAGTGTAAGTTTATAAAATAAGAATCGAATAACATTTTATTATTTATGTATTTATAATATATATATATACTTATTTATTAATTTATAAATTTATTTTTTCAAATGGATTCAAAAAGTTTCACATAATTAAAAACCTTAATATGCGGTTTAATTTAAAATGTTTTTATCTATAAAATATTAAACTATAATATATTTATTTAATATTTGTTTATAAAATTTAAACCAGAACTAAATAATTTGTTTTTGTTTTGTTTATAATTGGGGTTTAATTATTGTTGTAATAAACAGAAATACAGCGGTAAAAGATCATCTTCGGCTGGCGGGTCTCGGGATTAGTGAAAGAGATGGTAGTATTTATGGAGTTGTTTAGATTTGAATGGTTAATGCGCATTCGATGTAAAAGATATGAAAAAAAAAAGTAATGATGAATCATGAATGATGATGTTTTTAAAATTTCTTATCTAGTTGTCTAGTCTAGTAAAATGAAAACAAATTCTTTTGTCACTTATATTAACTTGGTTTAATCAATCAAATTGTTTGTGTTTAGCCTTTTTAAGTATTTTTTAAATAGGTTGTTTATTTATTTATTTATTTATTTAATGGGTTTAATGGATTTAGCACTTAATACGACAACGATATATGGTTATTTTGTTTTGATTTAATCTAGACAGAATGAAGTGATAGGTTAACCCAAAAGATTTAGCTTAATGTATTAAGATATTAACGGTATATATATATCTATTTGTAACGCACTTAATCTGGACAACGATATATGGCTATTTTCTTTTGACTTGATCTTAGACAGAATGAAGTGATAGGTTAAGCCAAAAAAATATTTAGCTTAACGTGTTAAAATACTAACAGTATGTATATATCTATTTGTAACGCACGATGAATAATGTTTTTTAATCTAAGGGAGAATTGATGACATATTTTTATCTTTTAAATATAAAAGTAAAATAGTCATTTGATTGAAACGGTTTATTATGTGCAAAAAAAATTGAAAAAAATAGGGCCTTATTTATTTAACATTTTACATATACAAACACTTTAGTCACTTTACATTTTACTAGAGCCGCTAAAAATCGAACTAATACGTCAATCCAACTTAAATTAGTAGGTTGGGTTGAGATTTTCAACTCGTTTAAATTGAATGAGTCAATCCGTCTAACCATTTAATTAAATATGTTGAGTTAGATAAACCTTATCAACTTGTTTTTAACCCAACATATTATTTCACTTTAATATATATTTTCTTTAACAGTTAATTAAATATTATAATGTATTAAACCAAGTATTAATTTATAAAATATAATGTTGTATTATTATTTATGTTTAAAAAAATGCAATCGTAATTCTCATTTTTTGTAACACCGACAACACTAGTCACTATTTACAATTATTTTGGAATTAGACATTTTAATGTTATTTGATCAATTTATTTGAAATTTTATTTAAGTTTCGAACTAACTTATATGGTGTAATATATATATATATATATATATATATATATATATATATATATATATATATATATATATATGTTAAACTGGTTAACCCAAGTTTAATCTATTTATTTATTTAATAGAATAAGTTGAAAACTATATAAATAGATCAATCCATGACAACCCATTTATCTGCATGTTGGGTTGGATTGAAAATATCAACCTATATAAATAAATAAGTTAGGTTGGGTTGAAATATTTATCCCAATTAATAAATGAGTTCAACCCGAACCTAACACATGTCAACCCATTGCTAACCCAACATTTTACTACGGGTGGAAATGTTCGACCCAACCTGTAACCAGACACTAGACACTAACCTGACACACAAATAAGTGGGTTATGGTTGAGACTTTAAACCCAGCAACCTGTTTATTTAATGGGTTATGTTGGGTTACCTGTTTAGTTTTACGGGTTAACCACCCAACCCGCCAATTCGTTTATTTAATGGGTTAGATTGAGTTATCTGTTTGGGTTCACAGGTCAACCACCCAACCTCTATATATATATATATATATATATATATATATATATATATATATATATATATATATATATATATATATATATATATATATATATATATATATATATATATATGAGTGTTCAGTTGAGAAAAAAAAGGTTGAGAATAAGAAAATCATTCTCAGCCAATCATTTAAATAACATCTAAGCATAAAAGACGTGGTGACAAACTTGTAAATATGACATAATAATCTTGAATTGCAACTACGTACCTATGGCTAATTAGATAACAACTCAGATTCATTCTAATCGATCGTTCATGATCCAAATTTCTCCAACCTTCAACAATAATCCATATTTCTTCAATTAAACCTCCGATCAACATCATCCAGTGTTAATCAATCATCGATCTTCATCAATAACAGGCTTATCGACATCATTTAATAGTTGACAATAAAATTTCATTTTTGATTCTTTTATTCCAACCTTCAATTCTGCTTGAATACGAGCATAACTTCAACATATGCGATTAATTATACTCCCAACGTCATTAAATCAACATCATCGATAATCAACAACAGATCCATTTCATATCATTCATTCAACATTGATCAGCAAACAAAACTTCGAAATTAAGGTTAGAAAAACATTCAATCATTTTTTTTGAAAAAATTCATATAATTCTCTATCAGTCTACTATTTTGTAAGTTTTAAATAGTCCAAGTATCATGTGTTTAAATTTTTTTAAAAAGTCGACTTGTATGCACTCCAACAGTTTGATGAAATGCATAAACTAAATTACCACGTTACATTCACATATGAATATTTTTTCGCACCTGAATCAGTATATGATTATTAGAACACAAAACAAATGCAATTATGTATGTTATACATATGTGAATAACATATAAAAATTATATCTATTTGTGAATACACCTTGTAATATTCATATGTGAATATACCATCTAATATTCACAAGTTAATGAATCGTCTAATATTTAAATATGAATATACTGTGTGATATTCACAAGCGAGTATATTATATAATATTCATATGCGAATATACGGTGTAATATTCATGAATGAATATATTTAGATGTGACTATAATGTGTAATATTCACAAGTAAATATACCGTATAATATTCACATGTGAATCTACCATATAATATTCATATGTGAATATATCATGTAATATCACATGCGAATATACAATATAAACAATATATATCATATAATATTCATATATGATTACACATTCATGTGAATATACCATGTGATAAGTAGTATGTGGTAAATCATTGTTATATGAACTAACAATATATTTTTATTAACATTTTTTATGTTTATTCACATGTTTGTGGAATGGTTATAACTCAATAAACTAATATTTCAATCAATGATTGGTTTATATCTCAATTCTTGACGATTGGTTGACGTAAATGAGATGATATCATTGACGAAGACAATATATTTTTATATTCATGTGTAAATGTTATACAATTTAATATATTTTTCATTTTGATTGTGTTAAATTCAAATGTGAATGATATTCATTAACCAATACAATGTTGTTTGTCTTAGTATAATGTTGTATTTACATTTAAAATAATATTGTTACAATATACGAAAAAAACTATTCACAAACCAATTCTTAAAGTGTATTATTTATTTTTATATATAAAGGTTGTATTCACAAATAAATAAAGCAACATGTATAATTTATTCACATAAATGAAAATAACATATTACAAAAATAAAAATAGCAAGTTATAATTTATTCACATAATCTTAACCTAGTTGTACTATACAGCATAAGGTTTCCTGAGACATAAGGAGCGTTCAAATATGACTTCATATGAAAAAGTTATAATTCTTCGAAGTTTCACGATAAACCGGCACGACTCTACGTCTCGTAAAAAGTAGATTTTTGATAAATTTACTTTTTAGCCTTAATAATCTAAACGAGAGTCATAGTAATTATTAAACCGAGAGCGTGCATATAGAGAGCGTCTAAATCTAATATCGTCAGAAGAAGTTATGATTTTTGTAAGATTCAACATAACAATATTCTACTTAAAAACCGAATTTTAGATCGGTTGATTTTTATCCAAGATGATCTAAACGAGAGTTGAAGATCTCGTTGTTAGGAGTCCAACAATAAAAAGTCTATCGAAAATGAACAGCGGATGAGAGAATTGTGCTTTTTACACGGACTTTAACAGTCTGAGCTTGTGTGAAAAATATAAACTCAAAATTAGTTAACGGAGTCTAAACGAATGTTGCAGATCTCATCGAGAGCTACGCATGAATATAAATAACGTCAAAAGTGCAGTTCATATGAAGACAAAACATAATTTTGAAAATCTGAAAAATGGTACGCGCGCGTCAGGAATGTTGCGCGCCCGAAAAAACCACGCAACCCCACCCAATTTGCGACACGTTTTAGGCTAGCAATTCTCCACGTCACTATGTACCGACCAAGAGCGTGACACGTCCTTATGATGCACGGCGTGCATCCCAAGAATTCAACCTATAAATAGCAATTCATTCTTTCATTTCCTCCTCACAATTCATCGATTTCTCTTTGAAATTTTTGTTATTTGGCTCATTTTACTTCATTCTAGCCTGCGGCGAAGCCCTGTGACACCCCTGAGTACTCATCTGAGTAGTATCCTTCGAGTAGGAGATCTGGAATTAGTATTCTACCTGTGTAATTTATAATTATAGTTATAAGTTATAATTCGTTACTACGAACTTATAACTAAGATTTATCAATGATTACAAGCTGTTATGCTGCTTGATCCACTTATGGGAGTGATGTCTAGGATAGATTTGGTGAGGTGTATACAGTGGGATTTCCAAACAGTATACTCTATATACCAAATGGACCCTACCTCCGATATGAGCTTACCTGGTTATTCCTTAGTTGGATCATGATATAGACTTTCGGATTATCGAGGAATCCAAACCCTTGTGATAATAGACTAAGACTTAGTGTTATGAACATCTAGGTCTTTTGCAAAAGGTGTAAGGCGAAGCTCTGCCCAATTCACAAATCACCAGACACTTTTATTAGGTGAGTGCATAGTTTCTATCAAGATCATAATCTAACACATAAGTATTTTTTTTTGGAAAGGGAACTTCCCTAACGAGGGTTTCCGGGCTAGCTTTCGCGCACCGACTAATCCCCCGCTGCAAACATAAAGCTTTGTCTTATGCCTTGGAGTCACTGCAGGCGAACCTCCATGGCCACAAGGGCTGAGTGGTGCCAGGATTTGAACATGGGTATTATTTATATGAGAAATCAAATGCTTACATGTATTATCTGTGCTATATGCTATTTGTATAATTAGGGTTATACTATTTGATTAGAAACTGTGTTGGAAATCGATTGCCTTTAGTTATAAGTCTTGCCTTAGGTTTAAGAATAAGACTTTTAAAGGATACTTAGTTGAACTTAAGTTAGATATCGGTTAGGTCTCATGACTAGGGTAGGGTGTGTGAGATCAGAGTGGAGTGTTTCTCCTCTTTCTTAGATGACCAGAAATGGTGAGTCCATATCAGACAATTGACAA